CCGCACCCGGTGTCCTTGCACACCTCGAACTCGCGAGCGCTCGCAAAAGAACTCACACAGCTCTCTCGCTTCCGCACCCACAGAGCAGATCAGCCAATCGCAATCGACTTCCTCCCCGAAAACAATCTTCTTCCTTTCATGCGATCCAAGTGGCGCTCTGACCAAACAGACTCCCCTCGTTTGTTCCGCTTGATCATCCTGACGCAGATGAGGAGCAGAGCACTGCTTGATCAGATCGTACGGCACCAGGGAGACTGCGGGGTCGTTGAGAAGGGCATTACCTGATAGGCAATGGGTTGTCGAAGAAGCGGGAATGGATGGAAGAAGACAGAGCGGATACGTGCGGGCTGACAGTCGTCGAGCGCTCGATGATTTCCGGTCTGGCGCATCGCCTTCCTCGCTGGCCCACCGTCGCGCAAAACGGAAGGAGGAACGCGTAGGATGAACATCGAGCGGATGCGCCCTGTGGAACATGTTGCGAGATTCAGAAGAACTCATTCCTGCCGAATACTCGCTTGAAGAGTCGGATTTGGAGTGCGATTTTGATGCCGAGCTGCAGCCAGAGCCAGACCCGTCGTCAGAGTCTGGCTCGTTTGTGCGCATTGACGCAGCTCCATCAGCATTGCCAGCGTCACTCGCAAAGTGCCGGCTTGTGCGCCTTCTCTTGCTCCTCGTGTGGTCTGGGCTGGATCTGACATGCTGACTGTCCTTCCTAACCAGCTCGGGGACTAGCCACACAGAGCCTTCATAGCCATAGTCTATATGCAGAGCGTTCGACATTGTCGAAACGTCGACTCAAAAGTCACTAGCAGACTGCGCCGAGCATGAATGGGTGATGAATCTATGCGGCTGGGGACAGGATGCCACGTCGACCTAGAAGGGAGAAAGAGGTGAGGTGTAAGCGGTGGGATTGGACAAGCAGACGCTACAATAATGCTCACGGGCTAAATGCTATGACCGAGCTTTTGTTCGTCGCGGCCACCCTTGCTGGGACCGCTCCGAGCGGGGTTCGAGCCGCAGATCCGTACATACATCTATGTTCATTGAGGTTGGGAATGAAAGAGAAAGCAGGGTTGAAG